GGATGATCGCGGGCGTTCGTGTCAGTGAAAGCGATCCGTTTGGCAGCTTCACGTTGCAGGTGGTCAAGTGCGAGGCGGTGTGTCTCCATTAACCGGTGGCGATGCTGTCTCACCCAGTCGATGCCTGTTGGTGCGTCATCTGTCGGTCGAAGCAACAGTTCGTCGATGGGGAGGCGAGGGGCTCTGCCAAAAAGGAGAAAATAGGGAGCGAACCCTGTAGAAGCGTGAGGAGTATTATTGTACGCCTGTACTAGATCAGGTAGGAAAGTTGGCCACTGTCGTTTCCTCTCAGGTGGTAATGAGCGGAGGAGATTGTGTAGCGTCCTGTTAAACCGCTCACACTGACCGTTCCCTTGTGGATGATATGGAGTAGTATGAGATTTTTTTATGTGGTACAGCGTACAGAGTTCCTCAATGAGCCGTGATTCGAATGACCGGCCTTGCTCTGTTTTCAACGCGGGCTCCATTGGTTGATCTATATTGTCCTTTTTCCTCTAAAGTTCTAAATTTATTTCTGCAAAGCTATCCTCAAATTGAATCCTGCCGACGACGCCAAAAACTGTAGTAGAGCGGAGGAGATTGGGGTTGCCTTAGGTGACAACGCCAAAACACTGTAGTAGTGTAAATTGATCCTGCCGACGACGCCAAAACTGTAGTAGAGTGGTGACGTAGCTTACAGTTTACATAAAATCACAATAAAACAATCAGGTCTGAGAACTATAGCTTTTTAATGTAAAAGGTACAATGCGTTGACAGAGCCGACAGGAAAATCTCTCACACCTGCCATCGACCCGACGCATCCGTTCCACACCACAATCTCAAAAATGTACACACCTCAAGTCCCAGTTCGCCCCCCTCCCACACACACACACAGTCACAGGGAACCCGCGTCCGAGCTGACCATGGGTCAACCCCGTAGCAGGGATGGTTATTCCCGCGTCTAAATAACCTACATAAAATTTAAGGCCAGTACACGGCTGAGTGTTACGTTGAATGACCATGGATAATTGAAGTTTAAGAATCGTATTTGCGTCTGAGTTTGTGGATCGCACATTCTCAGATTTAGTTCCAACAACAGTAGGGCTAAACTGACCAGGCTCTCTTACATATGTTGACACATGCTGACCAGCAGTAGGCTGGTCGTGAGCAGCATCATGGACAAATGGCATCTTGGATTTCCTTTTTGACCGTCGCCTCTTGGGGTGTTGTGGTTGTCCATTTCTTTGAGAAATGTAATTTTTCTTGGCACAGCATACCTGCTCTGTGTGACCTCTACGACTACACCAACTTCCAGTACAATGAGTACAGGGCACCTGGACGATTTTAGCTCATCCTCACAAACCAGGACATTAAGTTCAGATTCAAAATCAACCGTGTCCAGTTTAGATGCTATCCCATCAAGACAGGTTTCACCACAACGGCATGACACATGTGTACCTGTCATTACTGCTCCCCAACATTCATCACCCTCACGAGGTAAACACGTGACCACAACGCAAGTAGTACCTCCACCAGTAGTACCTCCACCAATAGTACCTCCACCAGTAGTACCTCCACCAGTTATACCACGCAGATCACTTAGCATCGCAAATCGAGAGAAACGGAATTAAGGCAGTGGCACAAAAAGACACTAGTCCTAGTTATTGTTTATGCTAAGTGTTTTAATTTGTTTTTAAATATTCGATCGTTCTTTAAATTTTTATTACAAATTAGAAGGCCCAGCGGGGACGCTGGGATTTAAACAGTTGGGGTGGATGGGGCAATGTGCCACTATATAAGAGAATCCACTCTCATAGTGTCACTGCTATGGGTAACCCCAAGCACGTACACATCCATTATCCATGGTCATTC